GAGAGAGAGAGAGATAGAGAGAGATAGAGAGAGCGGGAGGAGAGAGCGGGAGCGAGGAGAGGGAGGAGAGAAGAGAGAGGGAGGAGAGAAGAGAGAGGGAGGAAAGAACAGAGAAGAGAGGGAGGAAAGAACAGAGAAGAGAGAGGGAGGAGAAGAGGGGTGAGAGAGAAGAGAGAGGCGAGAGGGAGGAGAGAGAGTGTAAGAGTAAGTGTGTATGTGTGTCCATAAACGTACGTGTTTGATTGGGTGGGGGGGTAGGGGGTGGGGGGGACCGATAGTCATCATCGAAAAAGTCTCCCCTGAGGTGGAGGTAGTGGACAGGCAATGTACTTTACTGATGACCTTGTGCGACCTAAGTTTCACTGCGGAAACAAAGGTCATACAATTGGCGGCGGCGACACGCGGCTGGTAGCTTCGGTTTCCAGCTTGAGAATCCGTGGGTCAAAGCACAGTGCTCTACGTGGGCGACAGGAAGTGCACGTCTGCCACAGTTTCATTAGCTGCTTGTGCCATGGCGCTACTGAAATACGGCGAGCAAAAGGGCCTTTGGGGAGAGTGAAACAGTCAGTTTACAAACTTCAGTTATTGGTCATTTACTCTCTTGTCTCTCCCCTGGAAACGCCTTTGACCTGGTTGAACCTTTGGTCGAAGCCCTCTGCCGCCTCCTGAAATCTTCAAAACTAGCTCCCGCGCATACCCAACTGAAATTTTTCATAGTTCTGCTGCCGAAGGTGGCCCGGAAGCTGACTTTGTTCTATCACCTGCTTGCTCGAGAGGCCTTGGCCCCTCAGCTAGGCCGAGTTGAGCTTCTACATTTCAAGTTTCATTAAAGGGAAGTCACGTCAGAGGCCGAGCAACAGGTCGCAATTCGATTAATATACAAGTTTCTGGCTCTCGGCGCAGGTCGCCCTGCGCTTCACCGAGATCATTTTAACGTTATACGGTTTTTAAGGAACTTTTATTGTGAACTGAAAGAATTTAGCATGGGAATATAGGAATTTATCCAGAATCTAACAACAACAACAAAACATATAAACATGACAAACGTGTAAGTGAGAAAGGTATAAAAGAATCACTGTATAGCTAACTTCCATTTCAAAATAGCCATAATGTTTGTGATGCCTCAATAAGTACTTGTAGGTACATATTTACCCTATGCTATTAATTAAATTAAACATTAAAAAAAATACAATACTTGCAAAGAAACAAAAATTAAAAACATTCACATGATTATGTCAGCAATTGCTTACTTGATTTCAATAACTGTTAAAACAAAAACTAATTGATGCCATGACAGAAATTCAACATGGCGCTTTTTTGTTTGATTGATGGTTTCTAAATTATTATTTAATTTAGATACCATGTAAATCTGAATAATTGCAACTTTTTCACAATTACAAAATAAAATAATACTATGTGAAACTTTGTTAAAATATGTAAATAAATAAGAAAATTTCAAAACTGTCTTATCGACAGAACTCTCACCATATTACAGAACATTTGTGTTAAATTTTTTATTTACCTTTGATTAAGTCATCTGGCAAACTATCGACAAGTCGACACAGAAGCCAAAAGTAATCACGACATGCAGGGCCATATGGTTCTTTCCCTTCTTCTGCTGCATGATGCAAACTCTGTGATAAACATTAAATACAAGAAAGAAATAAAATTCATTCAGTACACCTACAGAAAAAGATACAAAATATTAGGCATCTAAAAATAAATATTCAAACTATTTAATTTTATTTATTACAATAAATAATGAATCTGTATATACATAATTTTACCATTTTACTAAAAATTCAATACACGAGTTTTAAAACACAAACCTCTATCTTTTGAGGTCTCATACTCTCAGCAATAGACAAGTACTCCATTAGATGTGACAGCAACTGAGCTGTAACACCAATTGGCTGTTCTGTTCCTCCAGATCCCAAGCATAAGCGATATAATGCTGTGCACACTTCTCTTCGTACTGCTGGCTCTGGATCTTCTAAAACCAACCTTTGCAACCATGTGGAGAAGTGTGGAGCTGCAAATAGAGCTTGTCGTACCTCATCACTTGAATGCACCCATGACACCAGCAAGGCCATAGCATAATGTACTACCTGAGAAACGATGACACATTTTATGTTACATTTTGATAAAAGCTTTGAATCCTAATTTCTTTGGATAAAGAACAGATATAGACACACACACACTATATATATATATATATATATATATATATATATATATATATATATATATATATATATATATATATATACACACACACACACATATATAAATAAAAATCAGCATCATAATTTACCTGAGCACGGCCCCAGAAGCCGGTTTTATAATGATTTGGATCTCTGGGCAAAGAAGCTTCATATAAAATACTGGTAAGTCGCGGCATCACTCTCTCAACATTCATCATATGTAGCATAGCCTAAAATCAAATACAATAATATTCCTAATGTTGCAAACCAATTTCCATATAATTAGCAACTTGCAAGTGCCCCCAACACCACTTTTAAAACATAAAAATTAAACTGTAATATTTCCCTAATTAAATAAATAGTTACAACAAAGCACAACAAATACTTAATGAAATATTAAAAATTTAACAAGCAGACTTCAAAATATAAGTTTGCAGTCTTTTTCTACAAATTCCCTTACATTTTAATTATAATAATAATAATAATAATAAATAATAATATATAAAATCAATATATATACATGAAACAGTCCAATATATATATATATATATATTATATATATATATATTATATAATTTATATATATCACACACACACACACACACACACACAGAAGGTAAAAAAATGCTTTAGTTTGTGACTGTTTCAGTGTACTGCAATACAGTGAGGGCAACGGCAACAAGGTAGAATGCAAAGGACTAAAGCACTGTGGAAACTGCATGTGTGAAGAGGTAAAGGATTATCAGAATAAAAATTTAAAAAACTCCGCAAACAATTTGAACTGCATTCTGTGAAACGTGATTAGGTCTAAAAATTTTTAAAACACCCTTTTTCATTTCTGTTTTGAATGATTCCTAAATATGAGTGTAACCTAAAACAATGTGGTAGTTAAATCATTTTATGCCTTTTAGTAGTAGTGCAAGTAGGAAAGTTGGCACTGGATCACTTGTTCACACAGAGCCAGATATTGGATCAGATTGATCATAGACAAACTTTTATGATGATAGCTGGCTGAAGTAAAAAGACTAATTTGACACTATAATAGTATTTTAGATCTCCAAAATGATGATTGTAGGAAGATGCGCTTGCAAAGCACAGAATCTTTATTTTAGTATGATTTTAAAATGAAAATAAACCAGCAATTATCAGTTTTTAAAGCTGGACTAACCACCATATATGAAATGTTAAGTACATCTTCAAAATATTGAAATACAGCTAGTAAATATTTTAGTTTCACCATCATCTTTAGGTCAAGATAAGCTCATTTTAAATTAAGCAAACCTCTCACCTCCCTTATCCATTTTAAGTCTTACTTAACATCATAAAAATAGTTAAAATAGTGAAGAGCATAGTTTGGAATGTTACTTCTGATAGTAATGAAATAAAATAGTAATGATGCTAATAATAATGAAAAAGCAATTGAATATTCTAGTATATAATTGCCTTGAAAGCAAAAACTTAGTGTGTATACAGGGTCCACACTACTGTGAACTGGTGAAGTATTAAGTTCATTTTACAAGTATTTACATTTTGTTTACACATTTTATAACAAAATGTATTTTTACCTCATGTATACACTTAAATCCCCTTCTTAAATCTTCACAATTTTATTAATTTTTGTTTCTTCTCACCTGAATAATTCATCAGTTTACCTACATACAAATTGCAAACATACTCCTAAAAAAAACATATACATCTGATACACTTCTTTTACCATCCTTATTGCTTACCTATACAAATAGCCTATTTATATATTTACAAACATCCATCAATAATCTTGTGCCTCTTTTCGTCTACCTTCACATTTCCTCTTATTTCATATCTTAAACTTTCCTATTCTCCTCAAAGCTCACACATCTTATTTTCTTTCACTGAAACATACTTTTGCATAGATTCAATTAATTTGCTCTCAGTAGTTGAAAACTTGGTACAACCCTTTCTGCCACTATGAAAAATAAACACTTTTTTCACGACCACAACCACCACCACACCACCACCACCAACAACAACAACAACAACAACCAGCATCACCCTTGCTCAGTACGACACAAACCCACCAAAGCGCTTACAAACACCACCCGAATATAAAAATGAACCAAAACAATCAAGGTGGATTATGATCACTAACTGGTCCATGATTGCTTGGCATTGCCAACCATGACTTTGAGGTATTTACATTAAACATCATTAAGCAATACTTTAGGGGTTCCCAACGAGGTCAGTATCAACCCCTGAGAGTCAATGTAATTTGAAATCCCCTTCAAAATGATGATCAAATGGTCGATTGGGGGTATATAGGCTTAATTATGATCCTGATAATCATAAAAAAATATTAAATGAACTTGTTAATTAATTTCTATCTGATATAGAGCAACAAATTATGTAAACAACTAATTTCTCTTCTTCTGTATCCATTGTTCATCCTCAGGATCAAGGTGAAGCTAGGCTGGTGCACCCGATGCACACCACCGGTACCCTGCAGTAAGGGAACCTTAATAAGGACCTCTGGGGAAGGATATTGGCAAAATAAAAAACAAATAGTACTCCATGCTTTTTTTATTCATTGCACCAGCCATTTTATTACTGTATACCAATTACATTTCAAACTCTTCAACTTCAAGTGTATTGTAAGGATAGGAGAGCAATTTTTACTTTCTGCATAGTGGCATCCCACAATCTAGTTATGCAACTGCTTAGGATGTTTAGAAATAATTAAAGATGTTGTCATTGCCAACATTGCCAACAATTATTAAAAATGCCAATGATGTTTAGAAAACTGAACCAAACTATAAGTATGTTTTCACAACAATATTCTATTGCAGAGAAGAGGAGAAACTGTAATTTATTGCCATCTGTTTTATTGCTCTAAATCAGAAAAAATACTCCCCGCAATTGGTACTGGAGAAATTCAGCCATTTAAAAATGCTTATTTTGTAACAATTGCACAACAATGAAGATCAGTTGGAAATAGCTACTCAGAAGTGGAAGTGGAAACGTCAGCGGATTATTGAAACAACACAACTGTTATTCTAGAGACATTTTTATTCAATTTTTTATTTATAATTATTTATCATAAATTACAGATAATAAAACAGGGGGGTTGATGGAGCCAACAATTCTTTTAAATGAGGTTGATGAACGAATAAGGTTGGGAATCTCTGCATTATTTTAATGAGATTGGTGAAATAAAGAACAAGAAAGCAAGACTTAAATATGTCTTAAATTAAACATGACCATATTTAGTAATACTTAAAAAAAATTTTGTGAAACAGACCCTTAATATTTTTAATCATTTTTCACATTCAAAAAATTCTTTAAAAATTCTTATTATTTTCCTCTGCAACTAGTCTACATTCACGCGGTGGAGGTGCAGCAGTATTAATGAAGAACAACTACAATAGTATGTGTATTGAAATGCAAAACATTTCAGATGAACAATTAATTATACACGCAATATTGATGTTATAGTTATTGCAGTTTACTTTCCACTTAATTCTTCTATTGAAGCTTATTTGAAATTTACAGAAACTTAAAGTTTTTTTGAAAAACATTTGCAATCTAGCTTTCTTATAGTCAGAGACTTTAATTCACTCGATACTAATTGGAAGAATGGTGTAGATAGTCTACAATGTAATTATCAGAATGCAAAAAATAGTGAAATCCAAATAAGTGGTTTATTGCTTTATTCTATGAACTCAGAAAATAAAACCTTAGATCTTATTATTGCTCAAGAACTAAACTGTAAAGTTACTTAATCTAATTGTCCAATAGTACCATGTGATTCTGATTCAAATGTTATATTTCTTTCTGTTAAACATGATCTTAATTATTAACTATATTATGATATATAATATTAACGATAACTTTGATAAAGCTGATTACTTATCTATCAATAATGAACAATGTTTAATTGATTGGATTCAATTCTTTAACAACAATAATTTAATTACATCCCTTGATTTCTTTACTATTTAATGGATAAATATATTCATAAATATAAAAATTTTCTAAGAAACTATCCATCCTGACATTCAGTTGAATTAAAGAATTTACTAAACTAAAATCTCATGCCCACAGCAAATATAAATTTACATTGGATAATACTGACTATCTTCAATTTTCTAATCTATGTAGAAGATGTAAACAAAGGAATTAAATTGACTGTGGCAACTATATAGAAAGAATTGAAACAAACATTTCTTTTGATATTAAATCATTCTGAAAATATACAAATGATAAAAGAGGAGTTAAGGGACTACCGAATGTAATGTTTTTAGATACTAAACTAGATGATAATGGTGTTGATATTGTGAACCTATTTGCTGAATATTTTCAATCGGTGTATAATCACAAAGACCATTCAGTGTGTTGTGTTGGGGATCACTTTCTTAATTCTTCAGTCAATATCAGTAATTTGGCAATTACAGATAGAAGTATACAATGCTATTTGTACAAAGAGAAGTATACGATGGTATGAAAAATAACAACGGAATTGGACCATATCGTGTACCAACATCATACTTAAAAAACTGTATTTTCAATATCACACTGATGCTACATATTCTTTTCAACAAATCACTCAATGAAGGTATCTTTCAACAGAACACAATTTAGAATGAAAGTTTTGTTTCTCCAATACATAAATTTGAAAACTGTTGAAATATCAGAAACTATTGACCAATATCATTAGTGAGCACCATTCCAAAAATATTTGAATCCTTGTAACATCAAAAATTTCTACGCTCATAAATAATATTATCATAGATGAACAACATGGTTTTCGAATTCAGAGATCATCTACAATTAATCTTTTGTTTTTGCAACATTTTGTAATTGATAAAATTGATAACCTTTCACAAGTTGATGTCATATATACTGATTTACTAAGGCATTTGATACAGTGAATATAATACAACGAGATGATCTAGAGTCGAATTGCATTTTCTGAACCTGTACTGAATTGGGATGAGCAACTTTTTGCTTTCCAAGGTCAAGACCAAATGTTTTACTTTGTGTTATAGCACTTAGCAAATGCTACTAGTAAGAAAAATAGGTTGGTAACTCAATGATTGATATTTCCCTTCTCTTACAGCTGGGACAACAATGGCTTCTCCCCAAGTACAAGGATAGTGTGCTCTTCCCAGATGAGAATATAAAGGCGGAGGAGAAATTGCATTGGCATTTCAGGAAGATAATGTTGCATTTGGTTCTGAATTATCTCAAGACCTGG